CTTGTTTTTCAGCCACGGAGTGCATTCACGCAGAAACTCCTTTCTTTATTTTTTTGTGGCTTTTTTTTTATTCTTCGCAGACATTCAGCCAGCGATAAAGAGGGAGGCTGGGCTCCCCAGGCCGTATCTGTGAAGCCAAAATGCTACATTTTACAGAAGCAGTATTGTTTGCAACACAGACCACAGATTCAGTGATTTAAAAACACAGCTAGTATTCACATACCTGTCACTAACTGGCTGACACCAGGCAAGCACACATGAGCCACAAGACCCCCAAAATGGCGAGTAACCACGGGGGCAGGGGAAATCAGTGTTCCAGGACTGTACTGTACACTGGGCACATGGCTCTTGGGGAGAGCCAGCACTGTAGGCCTTATAATCATTACTGTCCCTACATTTTCCATAGGCTGCGTTCAATATGGAAGATATTCCGCTGCTGAGGGTGAGCAGGGAATCAAGGGAGGGTCTTCTCCAAGACTGCAGCTTCTGCCCTGGCCCTTATGCGGCTCGCCTGTGTGCAGTAATGATCCCCCCCCTCCAGTGACGGCAGGGTAGCATGGGAAAGATACCCTTAATGGGGAAGAAACAAAGCAGCTCTGCCAAAGAACGTGCGGCAGCGATTGCCCAGTATCTCTATGAAAGTTTCGCGGAGATCTCTGAGGCAGATTTCCATGAAGTGAGGGAGTCAATCAACAGCCTGTTCCGCCGCTCAGACTAGGCATGTGGTGGTACGCGCATCATACAGACACAAGCCTGCAACCCTCCTGCTCCCAACAACTCGCTTCAGCGTTTCCCCAAATCAAAGCCACTTACCAAGGGCCTCCTCTCCCATTTGTGCTTCGCCAAGCTCTGACCGCTGTGACTGGCTAGCCTCCTCTGGGGTAGAGGAGAGATCCTGGCTGCATGCATCTCTGATCTCTGAGTCGTCCTCTGCCTCTGGGTCCCCCTCCACATCCTTGTCCAAGATTTCCTCCTCCTGACTCGGTCCACTCTCGACTGACATGCAAGCCACTGAAGTATCCACAATGGCCTTCGCAGTGGAGGTGGGGTCACCACCAAGTATCGTGTCCAACTCTTTGTAGAACCGGCAGCTTGTGGGCGCAGCACTGGAGGGGTAGTTTGCGTCCTGTGCCTTGTGGTAGGTGTTTCACAGCTCCTTCACTTTGACCCTGCATTGCAGTGTGTCCCGGTCATGGCTCCTTTCTGTCATGCATCGTGAAATCTGTCCGTAGGTATCATAATTCCTATGGCGAGAGCGCAGCTGGAACTGGACAGCCTCCTCTCCCCAAATGCTGATGAGGTCCAGCAGCTCGGCATTTTTCCAAGCGGGGGATTGCCTGGTGCGTGGAGCAGACATGGTCACTTGGAAAAATACGCTGAGAACTCTGCACGAGTCACCGAGCAAACAGGAAGGGGACTTTCAAAATTCCCAAGGAATTTAAGGAGTGGGGCTCATGATTGGTCACCTGAGGGCAGGGCTGTAGAGTTCAAACCGATGACCAGAGAGGTGAGAACAGGCATTGTGGGACACCTCCCAGAGGCCAACTGCAGTGCTGTAATCGACCAGGGTCTCTACACTGGCACCGTGGCGACTGTAGCCCCGGAGCAAAAAGTTGTCGAGGTGGGGTTTTTATTTATTTAAACACAGCTCTGCAACTGCGCAATTTCTGCACACTAAGTGGCTTGGCAGTGTGTACACCTCGGGAGTTACAGCGCTCAAAGCTGCTTTACTGCGCAGAAACTTGCCAGTGTAGACAAGGTCTAGGGTGACCAGATGACAGAAGTGAAATATTGGGACGCCGGGGGGGGGGAGGGGGGAGCGCAGCCAAAAAAAAAGCCGGAGCAAAAAAAGGAGCAAGCCGCCCCGACCGCTGCCTCGCGCACACTGACCACACTCTGTGGTGGGGCCCCGGGCGGCCCCTCCCCAGCACGTGCCTGGACCCCGCCCCCACCGCCCAGCGCCAGAGAGTGCGCTCAGGCCACGTCCCCCTGGCCCCCTCCCTCCGCCCATTCTCGGCCAACTGCCACTCGTCCCCTCCCGCTCCGCTCAGAATGTACCAACGCTGCAGATGGGGGTGGGGAGCCGATGGCCAAACACACGCCTCCCCTCACACCCCGCACTGGGGCTGGGCCAGCACGCATGGGAGAACCCGCCCGATGGGACACCGGGCTACTGGCCCTTTAAAGGGCTGAAGAAGGGTCTGGTTCACGGCCGTATCGCGGCCCACGTGCGCGGTGCCCACAGGTGCGGCCCCATGGCCCTGCCCAAGGGCCGACTCTGAGAGCACTGCCTCCACCCTGGCCTCCCCATGGGTCTCCCGTCCCTCGCCCTCTGTGGGCTGCTGCTGCAGCATCACCCCGCCCCGCACGGGCTACCCAGAGCAGCATCGGTCCCCCCGCCCTCCCTCCCTCCCAGAGCCTGCCTGGCACAGCCCCCACCACCCCCCGCAGTGCTAGCCTCAGCATCCAGCAGGCAGGTCCTGTCCGGGGACCCCAGCGCCCAGCACCCACTTACTGCTGCACTCCGGGTCGGTGCAGCGCTTGCGCTTGGCGAAGTGCCGGTCCAGGTGCTTGGTGGCCAAGCAGAGGGGCCACTGTGCAGGCAGGAGCAGGGCAACTAGGGCGAGGAGCAGGAGGGAGAAGCGCGGCCGTGCTGCAGCCATGTTCACAGGGTTGGCGGCGGGGGGAGGAGGGAGCGTCCCTCTGGCTCCTGTCCACGTAGCTCGCACGCGGGTCGGGTTGGCAGGGGCGGAGGCGCTGCCGGTGCCTACAAGCCTCGCCCCTGCCTCTGTGCATGCCTGGGGAGTGGGGCTGCAGCACTCTGCAGGCGCCTGCCGGCCGGCGGAAACTCAGCTGCACTGCCCCAGGGCCCGGAAGAAGAGGTGAGCGGTGCCGGCAGTACCGGGTTGCCACGGTCCCCCGATATCAGGACAAAGTGCGTCCCGACCGATGTAAGTCCTCTAAAATCGGGACTGTCCCGATAAAATCGGGACGTCTGGTCACCCTAACAAGGCCTCTATTAGAACAGGCTCTATGACACACTAAGAAGCAGTTCCGATTCCACGCAGTAGAGGGTACATGCACATACAGGAGCATGCTCGTAGAAAACCAAGTTATGGGCAGGATTTGGGGAATATCAACAAATGGGTAAAATTCAGGCCAAAATTCCTCAATGCACTGATCTGGGACCAACCAGCCACTGAACTTTTGACAACATGTGGTGCCTCGACTCCATCGTCTGGTGCCGTTTAGGAAGCCAGCAATGCACGCCTCCACTTATACATTCAATGTCTAGCTGAACAGCACCTTGATGTACTTAGATTGTGGGGCATAATTTCCCATGGAGAGCTCTCTCCTCTTTTTAAAATGTCTGTTTCAAGGGTCTCCTTGGGGAGACCACTGGGGCCCTTTCCCAGGCCAAAGCAGAAAGGAGACTGAAGAGTTGGGCATAAATGCAGCTGCTCTGAGCCTCAGCTATCTTCATTGCCCCCTCCTGTCAAGGGTTCCCACTTGGGGAGTGGTGAAATGGAATGCTGCAGCCAAGTCACCTCCTTTCACAGAAGTATGGTTTTAAACAGTTACGGGGAGTGTTTTAATTAAAACTAAACAATTTTCAAATGGGTTTGTTTTCATATATAATCAATTTCTCTCTCACACACAAACAAACTGAAAATCTGTGATGCTGAAGCAGTATAATGTACCATCAAAGCCTGCTAAACATTTTTATAATGTTAATGAAATTGTGTCCTGACAGAAACCCACAGAAGTTAAAAAGCGCCGAAAAAATTAACAACACTACTGTATTTTTTAAAGCAGCATGTTGCAGACACAAAGACATTCCAACGGACTAATATGTTCTGCTTCAAAACACATTTACATTCCTGATTTTCCTTCTACTGCAGATAGCCAAAAAACCCATGCAAATTAAGTTTGTGATTCCATTGTGACAGGTGATAAAAAGACAGGCTTCAGTCTCTATACATCTCCAGTTTATTATGCTCCACTGGAAGCTATTCACTTCAGCCATACTTGGGTCAGGTTTGATTTTAAACGTTAATTCACTTCTAGTATCTAAGGTCAATTTTTTTAAAATATGATTTTGAATCTGACTGGGTCCCCTTTAAACTGATTGTGACAGTACCTCAGGTTCTGTCACCGTGTATGGAGGTGCAAAGCTGTTCTGCTGACACTCTGCAAATCAGACCAGAAGGTCTCAAATTCCAATTCAGGAGCATAAAAGGCTGAGAACTCTGATAGAGGAGAGATATAGGAGCAGACCTGCAGGGAGAAACCCTGGGCACGGCCAAGTTCTAAAGAAATTCAGGATAAGGTGTGTCTCCTTAAGACAAAGATAAAGAAAAACTTCAGGAAGGGGGATGAAATTTGAACAGCAACTCATTGTGTGTAGGCAGGCTGTGGCAAGCGCAGGGAGAGCGCCCTCTTCCACTACACCTGACCTTGCCAAAAGGCAGCAATAAACTAGCACCGGATTTGTCAAAAACAAAAGCTTGCCAGAAAGTTACATGCCACCTCAAGCAAGTTTCAGCCTTACTTTGTAAAAGAGCTGGAAAGGAGTCCAATAAAAGCGATGGCTGCCCCCGAGGCTGCTGTCGTCCTGCAGCCAATCCGGTCAGTGAAGATACTCACAATAGGCGAGCAGAAGAAAATCATCCCCATGGCCAGGGCTCCAACCAGCGCTAGGGAGAGAAACAAAGGGAGGTGAAGATCAGCAACTGCTATGGAAACAATATGCCAATGAAAGAGAGACCAAAGCAGATGACAGTGGGGGGGGGGGGAAGGATTTTATTGGTAGTCTCAGTAGAGTGGCCCATCTCCATTGCACAGCCAGCCAATCCTTGCACTACTCTCTCAAGAGACACGGTCTCTTCTGGCCATAGCTGAGGCATGCTAGCCTGGCACGTACAGAACTTTGCTCTGTCACGGACCTCATTGTACCTATTGTGTGGACAGAACAAGTAGGTGTTTGTGTGAGGGAAGTGTGCCTAGGTTTATGCTATATCCACCTCTGCTGGGTTTATGTATTCTAGTAAGGCAACCCAGATTCTGTTCCATTTATCTAGCTTGTCCTATAGTCACCATACTGAGATCTCCACTGCTATGATTTCTGTCCGTAAGATATTCTGGACTGGTAAGAAAAACATGTAGATCCAGGAAAGAACATGAGATCTTCCTAGTCTCTGACACTTATGGGCTTGATATCCTGAGGTACTAAGCACCCTCAAGAACCTTCCTGAAGGCTTTCAGCCCTATATTTTAGCTACAATTACTATCCATCAATACTCATTTTCCTAAAGGGCCAGAGATTTCTAAACTTCCCTGCAGGACATAAGGGTTTTCTGACGTCATTGCGGGTGGCTTTTCATTGCAATGTTCTTTCCTACTCCAGCAACAATATGTACCCTACATAAAACAACTGAGAGATATTAATTGCAGCAAACATCAATTTTCTAAACAACATAAGCTCGTAAATAATTAAATGACACTCAAATTACACATCACCCAGAAACAAAAAACAGAAAAATGGCAAAACTTAAGAGAACAAGATCTGAGCCCCACCAAGAGATGTTGGCTTGGTCCAAGAATAATAAAACAGAACACACACGGTCTGGGGCTGTGCTCACTGACAAATCTCTTGCCAGTGTTTTGTTCCAAGGAATGCACCTTGTTTTGGACAAGGCAATATACAGTACCTGCACAAAGCCACATTAGATGCGTGAACAAGACCATTATCACAAAACAAATCCAACGCCCCTGATTTCATAGGAAAGACTTTTGTCAGGGGTATGATCTAAAGCCCACTGGAGTCAATGGGCGTTTTTCCAGTGACTTCAGTACACTTTGGACCAGGACCATGATGGATTTAACACTGCCTCACATTCTTTTCCATCTTCCTTACAGAAATCTGGAGGAAACTACTATTTTTTTTAAAAAAGGTTTTGCTGCTGAAAAAGATTTTGGGCCTGTCGGGCTTGATGTCTTTAAAGGTCTCTTTAAACCCATTCTTTCCTTAAAAGAGAAGATATAGAAAGGTAACATATTAAAAAAAAATCCTCCATCCACAAATGGTGAGGAGAACCACACAAGAAATACACTGCAGAATACATTAACCCTTGCATGAAAAGGTCTCCTGTCTGGAGCACAGAGTTCTGAGGAAAGAAGGAAGAGAATATAGAAACTGCCACTCTGGCACAAATCAACAGCCACTGGATAATGCACATAACTGTATAATATTTACAATCCTTGGTCGGGGGAGGGGAGTTTCTTTTGGACCTCAGCTGATGATTAGCTTATGCATAAGGATTGAAAGCAGTTGGCATTTTATTCTAGGTAGTGTAAACGCAGACGGCTGCTCTTATTTATAGAATTACCTATCAAAAGTAGTATAATGGGATACAAAATTAGTCACAGTCAGGTTGGTATTACATGTCTTAGTCCAGGGGTTGGCAACGTTCGGCACGCGGCTCGCCAGGGTAAGCACCCTGGTGGGCCGGGCCAGTTTTATTTACCTGCTGACGCGGCAGGTTCGGCCGATCGCGGCCCCCCACTGGCCGTCCCGGGCCAATGGGGGCGGTGAGAGCCGCGGCCAGCACATAGCTCGCTCGCGCCGCTTCTTGCCGCCCCCATTGGCCCGGGACGGCGAACCGCGGCCAGTGGGGGCCGCGATCGGCCAAACCTGCCGCGTCTGCAGGTAAATAAAACTGGCCCAGCCCGCCAAGGTGCTTACCCTGGCGAGCCGCGTGCCGAACGTTGCCGACCCCTGTCTTAGTCCATAAAACAACAACAAGGCTGCGAAATAAAGCACTCAAAAAAAGCAAAATAATTTTAATTTTGGACACCTTATGAATATGAACTATGAGAGTCTTTATTTACATAATCACATGCTATTCTTTCTGCAGCACCTCAACATTCAGGTCAGATAGTGTGCAATGAGCTAAACAGCTGTTCAAAACAGACCTAACAAATTGTACTTTTAATTGCTGACCATGTGGTCTCCTTTCCAGTAGTCTCTACACCAACCCCTGCCTCATTCATTAGCCAACCTGTATAATGAACGAGACAGGGGTCCTGGGGGGGGGGGGGGGGAAGAGGGACAATACAATGTACAATTATGTAATTAAAGACAACAGGCCAGCTCTTCAGCTGGTGTAAATTGATGTAGCTCAATTTCCTTCAATGCACTTAACACTAGTTTACACCAGCTAAGGAGATCTAGTAGCTGCACAAAGGGGCAAACTTCAGGTTGTGCGGACAACACTGGCATTTTCTGACTTCTGAGTGCTTAACTTTGTATTGTTAATATTTTTAAATGGAATTTCTTAAGTGTTTTTAAGAGAAAATAAATAATTTCCACAATGCTGAACTGTAGTATTTGATCAACAGCTGTAGAATGATCTTTCCTGAGTACCACAGGAATTCAGTAAGTGCACAGTTTGGAGTACCTTCTATATACCCATATCTGAATCCATTAGCATGATAGCATGCAACAATATAGGTCTTAAAACTACTGAAAGATCTCTTATAAATCACTGTGGTTTGCACTGGTGGAAATAAGCTTCTTTATGGCAGCTTCCAGAGTCATGTACTTCTGGGCACCAGACTCCACAGTGCAACTTTTAAGACTGTAACACTGACCACTGAACAAGAAACTTCCCCTACACAAGTGGTCCCAGTTACACTCCAAGCCAAACTTCAGCAAGTATTCAGCATGTAAGGATTTGCTTGCACCTGCAGTGAGGGCTCTGCAAATCTTTTCACCCCAGCATACAACTGAATCCAAAGAAGTACAATACAACTGGTCCTTCTATAACTGTGAGAGCTTCTGAAAATAACCAGGTCCCTTACAAAAAGAAAGTTAAAGATAGCGCCCCCCCACAACAATCCCTTCCTCTTTCCTAAAAAGCTTGACAAAAAGAGGCACTCTCAGGCCTGAGAACAGCTGGCCTTTTCAAATTAATTATAGGTTTTCAAGAACCACTTTATTCAAAGAAGTGTTCTGACAATAAATTGAGATGGAGGAAAAATCCTTTAAGGGAAGAATAACTGAGGCACAGCAGGAGTTCTCCAAGCCTCACTTCAGCCTGAAAATACTCCCATCTGGCACTGGAACAAAACAAAATTAAAAAGAGAGAGAGAGAGCGAGAGAGAGCAAAGGAGAGACCTCCCTCTATAGCCAATACTCTTGGCTATAAACAAGGTGCACAGTGTAACGAAAGTACTTCTAATAGGATTAGACGGCATCATTCCAAAGAGCCATCCAAACAAAAAGGGTGGGGGGCCAGAGGGGAAGAGCCAGAATGAAAAAGGCTCATTAAATTGGAGACTATATTTCCGGAAATGTTCCCTCTAAGCCAAACCAATAAAACATTTGACGGTCCCATCATGTTTGAAGTTTGCTGAGTATTGTGGTTATTATGGGAAATGAATCTGAGAAACATGGAAATGCAAGCAGAAAAACAGGTATTACATTTAAATAGGCCAGATTCTGATCTCAATTACTCCAGATTTATACATGCGTAACGGGTATAAAAATCCTGCCCAAAATTCAGACTCACATGGATAGTTCCAAACAAACCTCAACCAGGAGAATCAGCAGCCTCAGCTTTGAAGTTCTAAAAATTGTAACTTGTGAAGGGGGGCATTATTTAACGAAAATTTATACTAGATTTGTAACAAAAAATTCCCCTACTCTATTACTCCACCTTAGAGAAACTGCTTACCACACGCAGTGGGGAAAAAAAATAGTGTTCTGCCATAACAGTGAGATAAAATAGGTAATAATAATAATTAACATGTCCAGGGTGCTTTTTGTTTTCAAAGTGCTTTACAAATATTAACTAGGTAATGCTTACAACGTCTCTGTGAAGCAGGGAAGCGTTGTTGCTATCTCAATTCCACAGGCATGGAATGTGAGGGAGAGACTGGTTAAGTGCCTTGTCCAATGACACCCCTGGGAGTAGAACAGGAGAAGTTGCTGGCTCCCAATCTTGAGGCCTATTTAATGCTGGTTTGTGTTTAACACCAAATGAGGATAGGGACAAGTGGATTAACAGTTAACTTATATTTTACAGTCACAGGATTGGTATGCACAGGAGCGTAGAAGTAGAGCTGAGCCCTCCATTTCAATAGGCAACAACTGAATTGAAGATGGCTATTGGGTCCAACAACCAAGGCGGTTTTGCCTTGTTAATTTCAGCAAGAGGTCAGAGGATAGTCATGGTGAAAGGTCAAAGATGATGGAAAAAAAATAGTTAAAAAAAAATGTCCAGCACATTGTTTAGTAACATAACTGTTAGTATGTCACTAGACCAGCTCTTGTGCTGTGTTTGTATCTGTCCATTGTCATTACTGCACGAGCTAAAGCAGAACTGACCATTGGAAAGCCATCTTAACTCTCCACAATGGAATTAAGCTTCTCGTGGAGTCTTAGCTGTTCTGGTCCTCTGGGTCACCGCAGCCTAAAAATGCTGATCTCTGTGGGACCAGTGCAGCACAATTAACAGGAAATTCAACCCGCACTTAACTGGGAACTAGGCTGGGATCTATTAGTCTGCTGTACGGGCCAGGATTTCACTTGGAAGCTCTCAAGAATCTTAGTGAATTTAGAACTTGATCCAAACCCCCCTGAAGTCAATAGGAGTATTGCTTTTGACTTCTGTGGGTTTTGGATTAGGCCTTT